GATGTAAGATCATTTAAGGAAAACCCAGGAGAAATGTAATCCAAGCGAGGCAGAAGCACATGACAGTGACACTGGAGTCAGAAAAAAACCTTCTGCTGTGGCCACTGGAACAGCATTCTGGCTTGGGGACCCAGCCCCGGCTTCAGACCCCTGTCCCATCCAGCTGCCTTCTTCCCCACTTGACCACTTTCATAACCTACTGCCTCTCTCCCTGCTCTTGTCCCACTCTACTATGATCTGTTCGCTATATAGCAGACAGAGTGATAGTTTAAAAAATGGGAATTACATCATAACCTGGCCTAAGCAGACCCCTCTGAGATACTCCTTCTCCCTGGAAACAAAATGCAAAGTCCCGACCTCTGGACTCAGAGCCCTGCCTGATCTGGCCTCCAACCATTGCCCAAGTCGCATTTTCTATGAATGTACTCTGCTCTATCACAGCTCCAGCATCCTGGATAAGCTCCACAGGCTCTGCCCCAGGGCCTTTATACTTGCTCCCTCCTCTGCCTGGAATGGTGTTCCCCCAGGGGTCTGAGTGGCTCTCTTTTTCTTCAGTTCTCTGCACCAAGGCTGCCTCCTTCAGGTCCTCCTAGACCACTACATTAGTGGCTGGCTCCCCACAGCCTGCTCCTTCCTCAACAAGAGCTTTTATCACTGTGTATCACATTTCACATCTGTTGCTTAGCGGCTTGTCATTTGGCTGCGTGGCAGAGACTGAAGGCCAGTTGGGGTTTGGTCACTGCTGGGGAAGAGCTCTCAGATGATTGTGCGGCTGTATAGCTACAGAAATGGGAATAACCTGGTATTTGCCATGTCTTTAAAAAGTTCCAGGGATTATTGGCATCCTTATAGTCTGTTCTCTGCTGCTGTAACAGAATATTGCAGACTGCATAGTTGATAAGGAAAAGAGCTCATATTTCTGGAGGCTGGGCATGCTGAGGTCTGAAGCTGCATCTGGCTGCTTTGTAATATGGCAGAAGGTAATATGGTGAGAGTAGAGGAAGCGGGAGAGGGAGAAGGAAAAGGGACTGGATTCCCCTTTTTGTAACTAACCTTTCCCCCATAAAAGCCTTAATCTATTCTTGCAAGCACAATCCCCTACCTCCACCCCCCAACCTTTGGAATTAGAGCTTGAAATCAGAGCCACCTGCAGGCTAGGATGTGCTCCACCACGGAGCTATCCCTAACCCTTTTTATTTTTTATTTTGAGACAAGGTCTCACTCAGTAGCTCAGGCTGGCCTCTAACTTTCAGTTTTCATGCTTCAGCCTCCTGAGTAGCTGGGATTACAGATGTGTGCCACCATGCTTGGTTCAGACATAGATTTTTAAAATATAGGCAAACTCGATGAACCATATACTGTATTTAATTAATTTATAATCTATAACTATAAAACATCCCCACAAAAATGACTTCTAGCCTGATGCCCTCCCGTATTTTAACAAATGAGAAAACTGAGGCACAGCAACAATAAGATTCCTACGACAACCCAACTCTTCAGTGCCCAGACTCGGATTGTATATGAGTATTCTGCTTCTTTCCACTGCATTCCTTTCCAAACAAGCCTGAGAAGTATTGGAAAATTATTAAAATAATGCTATTAAGTGTCTTTCTAGAAAATATTTGCCCAGTGTCTTGCAAGTTCCAGGGGCAGATATCTCACAGCACGACTAATAAGAAAATACGAAAAAGGGAACCCATATGGTCTGTGTGACATTCAGAAGGGAATCAGAGCTGTGGCACTATCTCTCAGCATCACAGAGAGCAGGTCACACCAGACAGGGGAAGTCTCCACGCAGATTGCCCAAGAAAGGCCACTGTGTCTACGTGCTGGGTGTGGGGTCTGTGCACAGGGAAGGAAGACTGCGCCCCTATCCCAGTGCCCTGGTAAACACGTGGGGTTTTCCATACACTTCAGGGATGTAGACACTTTCTTTCTCTGCTTCCTAGAATTTTCATTACCCAAAATCAGTCAAGCGCAATGATTCCTTATTATGACAACCAAGGTCTAGTGTGTTTGGATAGTTAACATGTCATCTTTCTAATAAGTATTCAACTTCTAAAGAAAATAGGGGGAACCAAAGAAACACAACGAATGAATTCAGCTATATGATGATGAAAAACTTGAAATTACAATTAAGGAATAAAGGAGTAGGAAAATATTTACATTTACCATAAAAGAGTTCATTTAAATGTAAGAGAAAAATCGTCAAGCCTTTCAATAACTAAAAAAGGAAAGGCTGTTGAAAAGAGAAACATAAATCATTAAAAGTGTATAGGAAAACATTACTAGCAGCTAAAGAAATTTACATTTCAACACAGTCTTTTTGTTTTTTAGACCAATTAAACTGGCTCTGTGTAAAGCCTATGAAATGCTCAACATCATTTTTGAATCCCAGCTCCTACTACGGATAAGGATAAGGCCGTGATGTTGCCCCAAAGGACCTTCTGGAAAGCAGTGTGTACAGATATCCCCAGCTTAATGCCCTATGTGTTTAATGACTGCTTGGACTTTAGACCAGCATTTGGGCTTATGACACAGGCACGTGAGTGGCAGTGTGGCCCTATTGTGGCTTCTTTTACTTTTATTTCTGCTGATTGTACTGTACTGTGTAATACTGTAGTTTTATGGTCTGTAATACATCACGGTACTGCCTGTAAGAGTTACGCAAATACAAGCAAAGTCATCCAGTCAGTTTCCTTTGATCATTTCTTTGTTCTGAGTATTGTAATGCATATACTACACACAATTCTGCACATTGAACTAGTGGCAGGACAGAACCCAGATATTAAGTGAGAAGTGCCTGTATTCCAGGAGGCAGGAGTGCTGTGATTACCTCCTATCATAGGTACTGTTAGTACATGAGACAATCTTCCAAAAAACTAAGGGTGGGGCAGGGGAAACACTTGGCATTCACTATGCAAGTGTTATTTCTAAGAAGGGGGAAACTGCAAACAACCCAAATGCCTAAAAATCAGGAACTGGCTAAGTAAGTTGTGTCATCTCAAATTAGTGGAATATTCTGTAACCTTAGAAATGTTACCTGAGGGCCAGGGGTTTATCTCATGGCTTCCTGCCTTGCAAGCTCAGGGACCTGAGTTCAATCCTCGGTACCAAAAAAAACCCAAAAAACAAAAAAAAGAGAAATGTTGCCTGGAATGTGTGAGGTGATGTTGAAAGTGTTTATGCTGTAATTATGCACACCCTAATTATGATTGTACTTAATGTACCCTGTGAGGGCAGTGGCATTAACTTCTTTTCAAAAATTTTTTCAAATGTGTTCTTTCCAAAAATATTTTCCTGGAGGCATTGGTGGTATAATGGTTAGCATAGCTGCCTTCCAAAAATATTTCCTTTAATGATGCAGTCCATAGTTTAGGGGCATTATTCCTTGTTTAACAACCATGTTCTGTTCCTGTGACCATATTAAATGAATTGGTAGCTAAAGGAAGAATTGTATATAGTTCATACATTACAATATTTAGAACAAAGAAAAGGTCAAAATAAACTCTGACTTGATCACTTTGTTTTTATCTGTGTAACTCTTACATACAGTGCTCTGATGTATAACAGAACATAAAAGTACTGTATATACAACCAGCAAAAATGGCAGTATTGTACTGTAGAAGAAGCCACCATAAGCTTCCACTGCTGCTCACTCTCCTGTGTCCTAAGTCCGAATGCAGATCATAAGGCTGAGCAGCATGTCGCAAAGACGAAACAGTCATCAAACAGATGGGTCATTAAATGAGTAATTTCTGTGTATAACAATACATGTACAGTGAGGGTGCAATTTCATGTCAGTGATTGAGCAGTGGACAAAGAATGCTCAGGTCTGCCTATTTCAGGGAACAGCAGTCTTTTGTTAAATTGAACCACTCTAGTCCCAAAGAAGCCTGACACATAAAATAATACACTGCACTGCTGTGGTTTGAGTGTCCCTTGTAAAACTCATGGTGAATGATAATTGCCACTGTGGTAGTACTAAGAGGTGGACCTTTAAAGGTAGATGAGGAGTTGGGTGTGGTGTTTCCCTGTTACTCTGGAGGCCGAGGTAGGAGGATCATAACTTTGAGGTGAGTTTGGGTGACTTAGCAAAGACCTTGTCTCAAAATAAAATTTAAAAGGCTGTAGATGTAACCTAGTGCTTCTTGGGTTCAATTTCCAATACAAAACAAACAAACAAAAAGCAAAAAGCTATGTCTGGTCTAGCAGAGAATGAATCATAATAGAAACAATCAACTTTTTCATAGGTTCAAATGCATTAGTCTAATTTGAATTTACTCTGAATCCTCATAATTCCCCATATAATAGCTTATAATTTAAATGAATTTTAAGTGCTAGACACTTGAAAGAGAAAGAAGAACTTGCTCTCCCCTTTACCTGTGTTTGCTGTGGCTACCCCTCTTTCTCTGAAAATAAGACCAAAACAGAAAATAGGCTTGAAGACTAGAGATCAGAAATACCAGCCCCAATCAGCCCATCCTGGCCTTCCCGGCCTTCACTATTCTCTTGCTCAGTGGCTGCTCTGTTTTCAGGGAAACAAGGTAGTCACTGTGGGTACTGAATAATTGAGATGTGACTAGTTTGAATCAGGGTGGAAGTACTAAATACTATTGGATTTTGAACATTTGGAATAAAAGATGAAATATCTCAATGATTCATACTGCTTGCATATTTAAATAATATTTTAGGTATATTAACTAGAATGTATACTAGCTATATCTTAAAATTATTTTTTGCCTGTTTCCTTTTACTTTTAACATGTGGCTGCAAACAATGAAAACCATACATGAAGCTCCAAGGGTGCTTCTGTGGGACATTGCTGTGAGTGAGGTCTAGATTTGGAGGCAAAGAACAACTATGAGAGGGGCAGGGTACAAATAGTGACGGTACGGAGAACTGACTACTTACACTGTACACATGAAAATGTCTTCACTTGTTATTTCAGCAAGCCTCATCTCCACTAATTTAAAAAATCTTAATTTATTCTCTCATAGGAAAACGGCTTTGTAAGGAAGTTTGAGCCCAAATCTGGCTGGCTGACTTTTGTGGGAGTTATAGGACAGATCTGTGAGATATTCTCTGTCCTGAAGCAGTTCTACTGACCAAAAAGGACAATGACTCTGGAGAGAACTACTGCCAACCAGACTCCTTCCACTTAAAATAACAAAAACAAAAACAACACTCACGCCCCACCCCTTTCATGATGTAACCTTTTCCTAAGGTTACAGGATTTTTCCCTCCCTATTTTAATAAATAAATAGTGAATATTTATCTCTGTGTGTAATTTGTATCTTAATTTTAGGTCTGCCTGGCACTTCAGCATGGTACAGGGGATACATTAGGTGCTAAAGTAAGCAATGATGACCAGGAAGGTGGTATCTCTCCTGCCCCATGGAAGCTTGTGTGTGCCCACAATGGTGAAGTCGTTGTGTGTCATGAGGCCAGACCACACAGGAGGTGAGGTCTGCCACCTACTCCTTCCTGGGCCCGGGCCCAGGGTACCCCGTCCCCCAGAAGCTCAGAGTTTTACATTGATGTCTTTCTCACCACCCAAATTTCACTCTCTGGCCTGTTGTTTGGTGTTGATGGATACAGCAACCAACTATGTGGTACTGGAGCTCAGAAAATGAAATCCCTAAGTCAAGGCCCCAGAAGCAGCCTCAGAAGCTAAGTTTCTGTCTGACCTTCCTGGCCCTCCTGTCTGCACCTCTCATTCTCTTTATAGACAAGACATAGAAACTGGAATTCATCTTCCCCAAGGCAGGTCATAGAAATCAGGACTCTTCCCCTAAAGACAAACATAAATTCTAACAGTATTATTCTAACCTTCCTCCACCTTTTGGTGTGAGAGTTAGCCATAACTTCTTTGATTTGGCCTGTTTTATTGCAAGTCCTAAGACCGCCATCCTGGAGGGGTCTTACCCTGCCCTAGAAGAAGGATGCTGCACAGAGAAGCTGTTGCCAATCAGGTGCAGGTTCTTTTGCTCAATTCAGATGGAAATCATGGATTAGCAAAATTCTGCTCCATTTGTGGCTTGGGTTTTGGATATCATTGGCTCTGGCCCTTAGTGGCTCCACATCCCTCAACCTGCCATGTGCATCCTTGAAGGAGATTTCAGGTAATGAGAAGCTTTCCCTACACAGTATGACTCCTGACAGTGTGGAAAGGTCAGGGGGTGAGAGGGCAGGAGCGGTTTTGTGACCAAGGTAGCTGTGGCTTATTATGAAATCTCATCTGAGATGTAAATATTCTGCCTTGGGCCCGGGGGAGCAGGGTGAGAATACACATTTTCTCTTACTTCTTCCTGCCAAGGGCCTTACCTGCTCCCTGACTGCTTTTGGTTTTAACTCTTTTACTCAGAGCTGGATGATGGAAATGGACAGTTCTGGGAAGATATAACAGGAAGTATGAGACTACTACCTGGAATACATTTACACAAGAAACCACAAAATCTGGCTTTTACCCCATGGTTCCTTCTTCAGACACATGATGTTGGGAAATCAGTGACTTTTTCTGGCTTGGGGTGTGACTAAGTCTTTGAAGTCAGACTGCACTGTGTGTTTTATTAATTTACTTTTAGAAAAAAAAATTTCTGTGAGCGTTTCCCCTTTGCATGCATTCAAATTGGATTGAAGCAGAACACAGACCTAAATAGATATTGAAACTATACAACTCCTTGGAGAAAATGTAGGGGAATAGCTTAATGACTGTGTAATAGGCAAAAGTTGCTTAGAACACAAAGAGCCTGGAAAAGAAAAGAAAAATTGGGTAATTTAGCATTCATCAAGAAAATTTAAAATCTACTCGTAAAAAAGGCATCATTAAGAACTCCGCTGAAATTAAATAAATAAAGCTATAAGGACAGTGAAGCCATAGAAAACAATCTTGCTGAAAGACAAGGCACAGAATAGGAGATAACAGGGCACTTTAGTATCTAACAAAGAACTTGTCTCCAAGTTTATATACTATATGCTTACAACTCAGTAGCAAAGTGACCTTAACATTATTTTTAAAGTGAGAAAAAGATCTGGACATCTCAAAAAGCATATATACAAGTGGCTGGTGGACAAGGAAACGATGATCAGCACCTTTAGTCATCAGGGAAATGTAAACTGAAACCACAATCAAATGGCCAGGGATTTGGCTCAGTGGTTCCGCCACCTGCCTCGCAAGTGCGAGGGTCCAAGTTTGATCCCTGGTACCAAAACAAAACAAAACTACAAAACCACAATCAAAACTTGGTGCCTGTAGTCCCATCTACTCAGGAGGCTGAGGCAAGAGGATTGCCTGAGCCCATGAGTTCAAGGCCAGCCCGGGGAACATAGTGAAGCTCTTTCTCAAAGAAAGAAATATAAAGAACAAACTCCAAAACATAATGAGCGACCATCACATCCTCTCTGGAATGGCTAAAATGAACAAATGTGACAACAACTCAACTTTGAGGAAACTTCAGAGCAATTGGGACACTAATACACTATGGTGATAATGTAAAATTGTGGAGCTACTTTGGAGAACAGCTTGGAAATTTTTTATAAAGTTATATGTATATGTCCTGGTAGGATCCGGAAGTCCTGCCACCAGGTACTTATCATTCATGGCAGCTTTATTCTTAATAAGCTGGTGACAACCCAAATGCTTATCAGTGGGTTAGTGGTGGAATGAATTCAGAACACTCATCCCCAGGCTTTATTCTTTTTTCATTTTTTGACAGTCTTGCTAATTTCTGAGTTGCTCAGACTAGGCTTGAACTTGCAACTCTCCTGCCTCAGCCTTCCAGAACAAGATTACAAGAGTGTGCCACTATGTCTGGCTCCCTTACCACTGAAAAGGTAACAGCCCTGCTCACGTATCACTCGCTCCCATGTAGAGTGTCCTTTCCTGTGCTTCCCTGCACTTCGAACTTGGGCATTGATGCTTCTGCAGCTCCTTAAGGCAGCTGCAACTCCTGCCTTACCCTTTGTAGATGGTACTGCCTCTGCCTCCTCACCTGGTTAGTGGTCATGCATCCTTCAGATTTCAGCTGAAAGGTCACTTCTGCCAGAATGCCTTCCCTGATTAGGTGAAATTCTCAGAGACACTACTATCTCAATCTCAGAGTTACATTTGCATGATATTAAGATTCATGTATCTTTTTTCCTCTCTCTCTCTCTCTCTCTCTCTCTCTCTCTCTCTCTCTCTCGGATAGGATCTATGTAGTCTAGGCTGGTTTCAAACTCACAGGGATCCTCCTGACTCAGCCTCCTGAGTGCTGGTATTACAGGCATGCACCACCACACCTGGCTAATAAGATCCATGTATCTATTTCCCCAAAAGATAGCAGAAACTCTGGCTGTATTGGTTTACTATTTTACCTCAGAGTCCAGCTCAGAGCCTGGGAAGAGCTCAGTTAATGTGTTTTATAAACGGCGGGGAAAAAAATGAGAATGAGGATTACTTAGTTTTGGAGAAGGGGTCTAATGGAAAGGTTGCAGTGAGGGACACGGTATTCTCCGAGCTCAGTGCAGAGAGTGGTGGTGGCTGGCTGCTTTCCATCTGCCAGAAGCCTTATTTTGGGTAATGCGGATTGAAGCTGGGGCCTTCTGGGCTAAGGAGCTTTAGGAACATGTGTTCTGTTTGTTTTCATGGCAGCTGTCTGAAGTAGACATTATCCACATTTTACTGTTGAATAAACAACCCAACATGAGGCAGAAACCTGGTGTACCCAAGTCACAGAGTTGGCCAAGTGGTTCAGAGAAGGCCTGGGCTTCCTGAGGACTCTGAGGCCCAGGCTGGCCCTCACCCCTATGCTTCCTCCTCTGGCATCATTTCCTCTGACCTCACTGCACCACCTGGTCCTCTCCTGGGTCCCTGCTCCTTTCAAACTCAGGAGCCGCCTGTGAGGCCCAGCTGTGTGGGGGCCCTGGGTTGCCAGGCAGGCGTCCTCATGGTCCCTTGTCACTGCCTCACCTGTTTGCAGGTGTCCTATTGTCTCTGTGGGATTGACTCCATCGGCTGACTGCCACTATTTCAGCCCTGTAGACCTTCTGCGAAGGATGCAAGGCCATTGTTAGAGAGATGTTCTTTAACGTCCCGCAGGACGTGAAGACAAAGTAAATGCCTGTATTGCTGGCAGCTCTCTGCAGTTACTTCTGCTGAAAGGGCTGCATCAGCCAGACAGGGCATGGCTGAATCACCTTTCCAGGGCATGGGTGGGTTCTTTCAGATGCACAGGCCGCATGTGCAAGACAGCTGACTGAGTGTAGGGCTATGATTTTTGCCTTAAAAGATAAATTGAATCCAGCTCACATGACCATTGGTCCCAGAAACTGTGTTAAAGGAGAAGGTGGAGGACTACTTTTGGAGCAACAGAATGACATACATATAGAAAGAGTTGGTGGTACACACACTTGCAACACGATTGCCATTGCCCGAGCTTGCTTTCTGTTTCACTGACTAGTTTTGCACTCTTCCCGTTTACTATCTACTCTGGGTCTACACTGGTCTCTGTTCCTGCCCTGCTATTACTGGGAGTCACTGTCCTGAGGCTGACCTGTATACCTGTGTCCTGGACCTTGCTACTCACCTTCCTGTGGGGCCTCTTTGCAGGGTTTTCTCCTGCATTGCACAGTTCCACTCCATTAGCACACAGACTTGAGGACTTCTCCATAGCAAAAGCAAAGGAAGAAAAAACAAAACACCCAATCTCTCAGCAACTATCCTATTTTTCTGCTCCTCTTCATGAAAAAAAAAGAAAACTCTATCTCCAATCCCTCTTCCCAGAGTGCCTTGAGAACCCTTAACATTCATTTATCCTCAATGCTAACTTATCGTTCAGATGCTTATCCTCCCAGCTAATTTACCATTCACTTTTATTAGTCCATGTTTGCAGCACGTGATGTTTCCATTCCTTGTGTGGAGTTGTTACCTGCACACAATATAACTTCATTCCGTTTTTTTCCTCTTTTCTCCCCCTCCCTCCATCCCTTGATCCCCTTCCTCTTTGACAAAGACCTATATCCCTATTTCATATTATCTTTCATTTTGCCCTTTATTGATAATTTGGGTTTCTCCCATAATATTCAAGTTTGTGTGTCTGATTCATTTCACTTAATACTACGGTACACAGTACCATTTTCCTACAAATGACTCAGGTTTATCTTTCTTTATGGCAGAGTTGTAGTCCATTGTGTATAAATACTAAATTTTATTTACTCAGTCATCTGTTGGTGGACATATAGGCTGCTTCCAAGATTTAACTATTATGAATTATGCTGCTATAAAATATGTGAATGTAGCCCTGTAATATGAAACTATTTTGAGAAGATAACTAGAAAGGAAATAGCTGGGTCAAATAGAATTTAATCTTTTGAAGAATCTCCATACGAAGAATTTTGAAGAATCGCCACTAACTTACCATTTCAACATTTGTCTCCACTAATAACTTCAAGGATGAATTTGCAGTCCTCAGCTTCCTTGACACATGACATTTGATGTATAGATGATTCTTTACATATGTTTTTATTTATTTGACTTCAGAAACTCCACTCTTTCTTGGTTCTCCCCATGTCACTGGCCACTCCGGCTCTTTTGATGAATCTCTCCAAGGTGAACTCCCTAAATATTGGGGTGTTTCAGTGAGTCCTTGGCACTTCCCTCTTCCTGGTCCATAATCACACCTAGATTAGGGGGCTGACCTCAAGGACCAACCATGTTCCAGTCTCCAGCCAGGACCGACCTCTGGACTCCAGATGACTAGCAAGCATTTTGAGTTCACTATGTTGATATCTGAATCCATGCTTTTCATCCTGCAAATCTCTGAGCATGAATCCTTTATCATATTAGTTAATGGGATTGCCATCTTTCTACCCACTGAGAGTGGAAATCCTTTAGAGTCTGGCTCTTTTTTTTCTCATTACACATTCAGCCCATTAGCAAATTATTCCGCCACCAAGATGTGCCTGATATTTAGCTGCACATTATCATGGTCACTCTGCTGCCTTGACCCCAAATCTCTCATATAGCTCTAGCGGCCACCACCTCACTGGCCTTCTTGCATATTCCTTTCCCTCTGCAGTTTATTGCCAACATGTGGTCAGAAGGGTCCTTTAAAGTATAAGACCATGTTATGCTGCCTTGCTGCTCATATCTACAGCAGTTTCTACCTCGCTCAGTAAAAGTCAAAGCTCTTCAGAAGTTGTCAGGTAGGCTGTGGGCCTTTCACTGTCTGCCACCACAGTGAGCAGCCGGCCCTCCTCTTCCCCTTGACCTTGTACCACCCTGTGGTGTTAAGCACACTCTGTCCCCAATACTGGAAACCTCTTGTATTACTCACTCTTCCTAAGATCTTGATTTCTGTCCCAGATAATACATGGCTCCAGAGGATTAACAAAACGGGGGAAACAGCTCTCCATAGTTCTCCCTCCAGGGCTCTCTGCAGCTCTCCTTCCAGAGCTCGGCCCCAAGCCTATAGAACTTGCTGGGTAAACTTCACACTCAACGTTGCATGGACTTACAAATACGAGTACTGTCCTAGAAAGAAACACAGGGTATGGCTGCTGAATTGTTGTTCTCATGGATTAGGAGTAAATGAGGAAGGCATTTTTTATCAAGAGAATCAGAGCTTTACCTAACTGGACAAGGCTGTTTTATTCTTCCGGTTTTTGCAGTGCAGAGGACCGAACCCAGGCCTGCAGTTGGCAGTCAAGCACTCTACCACCCTCAGCCTGGTGCTCCACAGGCTCTGCCCGTGGTACACAGCCATCAGGAGCAGCCGCAGATTCCAAGATAGACAAGTTCAGAGCTCAGCAGAGTCTGATCAGCAGTGCTGCGCTTCCGCAGCCTCTGGGTGGCCTCAGGCTTCTCTGCTGGCTTTATTGTATTCTTTTGCTTTCAATTCTGTTAGTATCCAACCAGCTGCTCCCACCTGAAACTTGATTCTGGGATCAATCTTGAATCCTCTCCTCTATGCCTTTTATTCAACCAAATACAGACAGAACTGTGGCAACTGTCCTCTTCCTCTCCCCACCCTTTTCAGTAATGGGGAAAGAACCTAAGGCCTTTACACTGAGCTATGTCCTCAGCCTTGTTTTTTAAACTAAAAAAAAAAAAAATTTTTTTTTTGGTACCAGGGATCAAACTCAGAACTTTGTGCTTGTGAGGCAGGCAGTGGAACCACTGAGCTAAATCCCTGGCCCCCAAATTTTTAAAAATTTTGAGACAAGCTCTCCCTAAATTGCACAAGCAGGCTGGACTGGAACTTGTGATTCTTCTGCCTCCACCTCCCAGAGAGCTGGGATTACAGGTATGCACTAGTACACGCTTTGCTTATTTACTATCTCTTAACTTACTCATTTTCTTTCTCCTTAACTCCTTTGGCACAATGACAAAAAATTAAGTTTTAGGTCTTAAATGTAAGGATGTAAGGATGGATATAAGTGAAGTCAGTGCTAGTTTTAGCTTGGATGACAAAAACCAAGATCTCAGAAGACTGAATCCATCCTTCTGCTCCCTCTCCCAGCTATGCATTTTACTTTCACATTTTATGGAACTGAAAGCAAACACAACAATGAGGCCTGACAGCTGTGGTCATTGGGTTTTCCTTTGTGACACCATGGCTTTTCTTCCACTTATCTTGGGTGGCAGGTCCCCGGCATTCAGCTCACCCTTGAAGCACAGAGCTCTATTTCAACTGTAGTTTATCAGTGCCGAGGACAGCGAGGTCTCCCCTCCTGACCCCCATTGTCACCAGCAGCTGGGATTTAATTGGCATAGGTTGGCCTAGAACGAGTCTTCATTACAGACGCAGCAACTGTGCACCCTTTGCCATTTCCTCCAGGCCTGCAGAGGACTGCACACCATGGTCCCAACTGCACACTGCACTGGAGCACAAGGGCTGAGTCGGGGACATACCACTGCGACAAGAGGAGAGGCAGGGTAGTGTCATGTGTGGACACATTGGGCTGAAGTCCACCACATCCATGGAGCAGCTCTGTGATGGTTGGCAAACCCGTTTCCTCCTCTATAAAAATTCTGTAACAATACCCCCTTCAAAGTTTGTCTTGATGAATACAGGGAGTATGTGAAGGAAATGGGGTAGGACCGTACATACAGAAAGGGCAGTAAACTGGGCCTGTCATTCTAATGTGACCTTGGCCACAGGCCAGCTCTCCTCCCAGTCTGTGGCTTCTTTTCCCATTCCACACTAATCAGCCTTATGTTCACTGACAAGGTCACAACTGTGACCATTGTGACAAAGAGCTGAGAGCTTACATCACACCCATGTGCACAACTGAAAAAATCCTCCTCAGAGATTTTTGTTTTTCAGAGTTTCTCTTCCTGGCTCTGCAGCATCCAGGGACTTTCCCCCTCTCACTTCTGCTGGTGCAGGGGAAACTTGTCTTGTTAGCTCCACAGTTCTATTTGAGTTGCTACCTTCCCCTCTGCGCTTTGAGAAACAGACTTTAGGGACTATCTTTCGTCACTAGGTCTGCCTCTTTCTACTACAAGTGGCTTATGAAGTATTTCTTCTAAAAGAAATTATGCACATGGTACTTCTTCTAGAAGAAATCCTAATGGACAAAGACTTCTCCACATTAGCACATCATTGTAATATTGAAATCAGCTAAACAGTGGCACACAGAAGAGAAAAACACAGTGGCAGGGAAGGGCAAAGGAAGTCTGGAGCTGGCTGAGGGCGCCTGGGAATAAGGAGCCTTTCCTGAAGGCGAATAGTAAAGAATGTTCAGAATGCTCAGAATGTTCTCTTTGTAAGGAAAGCAGGTTCCACTGGTGTGGTCTGGGAATGGGAGAGATTAATGGCAGAGGGACTGACCCGGCAGCCTGCAGTGACAGAGGGTTACTGTGTTTGTGGACTGACACTTGCGGGGGCCCAACTGAATTCTCCAAGCTTTTCATAGGAACAGCCCTTCTATTACGGCTTTCCTAAGTTCATGCATTAACACTATTTTTATTTTTTATTTTTTGGCCTTGTATTTTGAACAAATTTATTTTTACAGAAAAGTTGTAAAAATAGTAGTTCCCATAGAGCTACCAGGTAACTTCTATTAATATCTGACAATATAATTATCCCAAACAAGAATGTTAACACTGATAAAGTATTACTAACACATCTACAAACTTTATTCAAATTTCAAGAGTTTTCTCACTCATGTTTTTTTTTTTTTTTTTTTGTTCGGGTCTCCAGGGCAGCTAAATTACATGTAGTTGTTGTATCTCTTCCAATCTGTGACATTTCCTTAGTCTTCATAGACTTGAAGAATACTAGTCAGGAACTTGTAGAATGTCCCTCACCTTGGCCTGGATGGCATCTGATGATGGTCAGATTGAGGTTATGCAATTCTGACAAGGCTACCACAGAAATGAAGGAATGGTCTCTTCAGCGCATTGTTAAGAAGCACAGAGGTCTTTCTCACAGTGATGCTAATGCTGGTCAGTTGGATAAGTTGGTTTTTGCCACATTTCTTCACTAGTAAATATCTTGTGGGGAGTTATTTTTGAGTCTATGAAAATGTCTAATTCTCATCATTCTTCCACTCATTTCTTTTAGCATCTATCAGTAATTCTTGCCTGCAACAATGACTATAATGTTTGCCTAATGGTTTCTGTTTCTATTATTATTTCCAAGTCTGTTAATTGGAATTTTACAATAAAGAAGTACGTCCTCCCTGTCCTGTTTATTGATTCATACCAATGTGGACTATGATTAAATAACCATTTTATTCTATGGGCTAGAATGTAAGACTCTCATGATTTTGTCGTTCAAATTGTCCTGATCCTGGACATTGGGAACTCCAATTTTGCTCCTGGCTCCCTTCTGACACTTCCTTTTCTTTGTGACAGCACAGAGCACCTCCAAGTTCTTGTTTTTCTTTAACTCCAACTCCACCACCATTTCTTTAAGAAGATTTTTTTTTTGTTTTTGTTTTAAATTGGACAGTAGTATTTAGAAAGCTAGGTCTAGATGCTAGATCTCAGTGGACAGCCTGGGGCGTTAATCAATCTAAGTTCTCTTATAAACAGTGTGTTTGTGCCCGTGTGCAACCATGAGTTAATACCAACACTTCCAATTCCTATCCTCCAGCCTCCCCCTTTCTTTATTTGTAACTTGTTTTTCTAAGAGGAGCAAACCTGACTCTCACTATTCACAATACATTTTAATTTGAGGATAGAGATAAAAGAGTTTCACAATTGCTAATTTATACTCCTGTGAAACAAATGTACTAACTAGAGCACAGTATCTGTATAGTTTTTGTCTTTAGCTTTACCATGTACAGTCAAAATACCATTTTCCAAAGTTACTTAAGTGAGCCTTTTGCTTTCCCACCCACCGGCTGTGGTTATGTAGGTAACTTATGCGTAGTGGCTCGGTCCCAGCTACATCCCATGCTGGCCTGTTCCACACCGCTGGCTGTGTTTGTGTGTGTGTGTGTGTGTGTGTGTGCATGTGCGAAACACTGCCAGGGTTCAAAAAGTCAGAGCTTCACAGAAGCTGTATCCCAAGATGTCACTGAGTCTCAACACTGCTACTCCTCTCCCACTCACCAGTTCTTACTGATCTGTTTTCAACCCTTCCCTGTAGGGATCCAAGCTTCAGTTCTGGTTCATGCTTATAAAATTAAAAAAAAAATGAACATGCAATTTTCTTTTTATCCTCTATCATTTTATGAAAATATATTTCCCATACTGTTAAATTCACCCTTTAAAAATGTGCATCTTACTGATTTTTAGAACATTCTTATACTTTCAATAAGAAACCCTGTATATCCTACTTCTGCTCCTAACCCAGAAAACCATTAACCTACTTTCCATGTCTATGGATTCTATGGATTTGCCTGTTCTGGATATTTCATATAAGTGGGATCATACAACACAAAGCCTTTTGTCTCTGTCCTCTTTTACTTAGTATTCTATTTTCAAGGTCCATTCATAACATACATCAATACTTCATTATTTTTATGGCTGAATAATTTTCCAATCCATGGATATAGCACATTTTTTGGTATATTCACCAGTTGACGAACATCTGGGTTGTTTTCACAACTAGACTGTAAATAACGCTGCCATGAACATTCATACACACACACACACACACACACGCACACACACATATAAATTTTTTTGTGTGAACATGCTTCAATCCCTTTTAGGTAGAGAAGGAGTAGAATTACAAGGTCAGATGGTAACTCTGTATTTAACTTTTTAAAATTTTGTTTTGTTTTTTTGAGACAGGGTCTCACTATGTAGTTGAGACTGACCTGGAACTCAGTATGTAGCCCAGGCTGGTCTCGAACTCACAGCAATCCTCCTGCCTCAGCCTCCCAAGTGCTGGGATTACAGGCTGTATTTAACTTTTGATGA